GGGGGCGATATGCTGACTCTGTAAACCGCTTAGAGAGGGCTGAAAGCCCTATGAAGCGGTACGTAAGTCTAACTGCTATTGCTATCCATGGGAAAGAGGTAAAAACTTGAGCTAACTTGTAAAAAGAAATGACAAAACAGAAACTTCATGGAACGTTCTGGTGAGCTTCCTTTCCGAAACATCCTGCTCCAGCTTTTAGTCTCAGATCTTCCTTTTCGTTTCCAGAGTTACGCCGTCGCCAAGACACGTGCTGAGATGCGCGGTGGTGGTAGGAAACCCTGGAGGCAGAAGGGCACGGGTAGGGCACGGCATGGCAGCATCCGATCCCCTTTATGGCACGGAGGTGAGTGAAAAGTTCTGTCTCTGGTGCTCAGCTGTTCCCATTTCTTGTAATAAAGTGGGTGGGTATCAGACCACAGCAGAGGACACACAAAACTGATAGCTTTGTAAGATATATTATTTTAGGGTAAACGTTGCTTCTTGCCTTGCCTTTTCTGCAAGTTTTCTTTTGATTTCACAGCCTTCCTGCAGACAGGAATGAGATTTTTCTTCTTTCTTTTGCAAATAGGCCCCTCCGGAAGCCTGTGTTTTATTAAATAAAGTTTTTAAAGAATTGGAAACACATAAACCTGAAATTTGCTTCGTGGTTTTTGATCGGAAAGTGAAACCCCTCTCTGATTTTTTTTTTTCCTCAGCCCATGGTAAAAGCCGCCATGAATTTGTCTGTTTGTTAAAGTTCTCTCATTTTTTTTCTCGCCTCCAGAGCTCAAGGCAGTGCAGAGTCCTCACTTAACAAAGGCAATTGGGATTGGAATTTCTGTTTTACTAACTGATGTCGTAAAAAGCCTGGTGTCACATGACTGTGCCGCTTAACGACAGGAATTCTAGCACTTCCACTTGCCATCATTAAGTGAATCCTGCAACATTGTTAAGTACACTGTCACAAAGTTGCCATTTGTGTCCTTCTGCAAGCTTCCCCGCTGACTTTGCGTGTAGGAAGTCAACAAAGAAGGCTGCAAATGGACCAAGGGATAGAGTGATGTGTGGTAGTTGTGATTCCAGGTGCCTGGATCATATCGTGGCACGTCAAAACCGCGGTCCACTAAAGCGCGCCCGATTAAAGCGCATACGTGATGTCATCAGCAGCGCGACAAGAAAGAAAAAGGGCACTTTAAAAAGCGCTTTTAAAGCAAGCCGATTCACATAAAGGTAAAGGT